ATTCATGTAGAACACCAGGGCCCTCAGAGGAAAACCACATGAGCTGCATGCATACACTCGTTGATTAATGGACCTCAAAATGCGGGTATAATCAATTATGACAACATACAGGGCTTCAATATATTCCCAAACGCCCTGATACTCTATTTTATTCAACCTGTATTTAACGAACAGCTACACCGTTTCCATGGAGGTTTGTTGAATACTTAGAAAGCTCTTCAGACCTACGGGGGTTTACTCTCATAGCGTTCTAATTTGATACAATGAAGGTGGACAGTGCTATTTATGCGCTGATGGCAGTTGTTACACAAGAGAAGTGTCTTGTCAGCTTGAGAGCCGTCACTAGTGAGGTTAGCTAAAGAGCTGTCCCATTAGTGAGAGTATTTGCATGAATAATTGTTGTCACCCATGTAAATGAGTAGAAGGGTGTCTGGGTGTATGTTGGAGAATAAGCGTCTGTAAACTAGTTGTTGAGCCTCTCTGTACCTCTTTCATTATGGCGATTGCAATCTGTTAAAAAAGGAGATTAGTTGAAGGGATGAACTGACCAAAGTCTATTAGAGGAATGAACTGCTTCCTGTACTCTGTGGGGTCGCTCCCTCACTGAGGATTAACTCTCTCTCAGGTCGATTAAAGCTTGGAGTCTCCTCTTTGGGTCTTCCAGAGTCATTTAAAAGAACACAAGTACACTTCTTCAAATTGCTCGAATATAAATATGTATATGTTATGTACAACAATTCAATGTGATTCATGGTAAACAGATGTTTTGTAAAAAGAAAGGAAACACGTTTTAATAAGTGTACACACGTCCATGCTTACATAATGTATGACTAACTAAATAAATTGCTCAAGGGAACGTAATGGTAAAAGAAATGTCATTAATATTGTATCGTCCGAGTAATAGCTTAATATTGACTTACAAACAATTGGCTTCTAATACATGTAAACATATTTAATCGAGTATTAGTAATTGGATCATTTATTAAAAAAGAGTGTGTTTTGATAGACATTTACTTTATACGACGATGTGATCACGATAGATTCTGCATGGATAATCATGCATAGACCCACAAGAGTGAATACAAATATGGAAAGAGACACTGAAAGACATTGAATATGCTCTTTTGCACATATTCAAACTAATAAAATACACATTGAAATATAACATCAAATGCAAATGCAATCACATCTTGTTCTTTTTAATTCAGGATTGTCAAACTGAAATTGGCAGTTGGCTTCTGAAAAAAAGTAGTTAGAAAATGTATCTTTGACCGTCTTAGCCCTGTTTTCAAGAAGGATCAGCAACTGACCTTTGAACTTCCTCCTAATCTGCTGACTGCAGAGGTGCTCAAATAAGTGCCTCAAATGTGTAAGGAAACACAAAGTGTCCCTGCTATGATAAAAAAGCTTAATCCGAATATATACTGTACAGTTAGCCCTGTTTCAATGTTTTATTAAGAACATACAATGGATAGATAAAGCTCTTTTTTCAAAAAACACACACAAAGCATTACACACTAGTGATTCATTAACCAGGCAAGCATAAGCAAAGATAATATTTGCTATATTACAAATATGTATTATACTACTTTACTCTCTTCACTCTCATAAACAAGTCTCAATGGAATAAGCAAATGCAAATGAACATCAAAAGGAGAGATTATAAGAACATTTTAAAGAAAGATAACAATGATAATCGTTTCACCTCTGATAACTGTAAGCAGGTTCAAGACTCAAAGGCTCATTAAACATTATCCCTACAACTGAAAACTTGCTTTATGAATAGGTACAGGATTATCACAAGACATGGTATATGGAAGTGCACAATACTGTATCCTCAAGGCCCTTTATTGTCCCAGGCACCCTATCGAAAGTATTGAAAAATGGTAGAAAGAGGTAACCGCCTTCACATTTTGCAGCAGATCATTTTTTACTCAGGTTGCACTTGGCTCACCTGGCTCTGACTCTGAGGTTGGATTTGTTTATTTTCTACCAGCGTCTAAACCTATTAGAGAATGTAAGCCTCTTTCAGCTTTCTTCATCCGCTGAATTGGAATGAATTCACAGTCGCAAATAAAGAAGGTGTTGGTAGCTCGAGCTCTTTACTGTGTGTGTGTGTGTGTGTGTGTGTGTGTGTGTGTGTGTGTGTGTGTGTGTGTGTGTGTGTGTGTGTGTGTGTGTGTGTGTGTGTGTGTGTGTGTGTGTGTGTGTGTGTGTGTGTGTGTGTGTGTGTGTGTGTGTGTGTGTGTGTGTGTGTGTGTGTGTGTTTGTGTGTATTGGTGTTTCCTTTAAATTAATATACAAATAATTTGGAAAATGTGCTCCACAAGCTCAGTAGCCAAGTATGAAATTACCCTGAGCGTGTCTCAACGGAGCAATGCTTCTTTATGCCTCCATATGCTAAACAATATATGGTTATTATACAACGTGTTGCGTGATGTCTTACAGAGCTCCTACAGGAAAACCGACATTATTATCCTGTCGACATGGCAGTGTAATAGGGAGTATGTACATTAATCATAGAGGCAGGTTGACAAACTTCATTTAAAACAGAATACAATTACCTTGTTTTTGCGTCTTTTATGCTGCTACAAATTCCTTACATAAGATGGCAGAGCTAACACACAGACAGGATTTCGCACCACAGAGCTCAACAGTACCAGCACAGATTAGTAACTCGTGGCCAGTGAAGCAGCTCTGGTTGAAAAACTGACGTTTGACTGCTTTGCCCCAGGGTGGTTTTTACTGCAGTTGATGAGAGAGGAGGAGAGTTCAAATATTACTCCAACAAAAACGTTTTGTAGACACTTGAGGGATTTAAACAGGTGACATTTTGGTCACTGCTCTCACCCCACTGACACCCCGTGATATCCAGAAGAACTATTACAAGATGCTGCAGGTAGCATTGCACCTATATGTGATGTAGAGGGTTTCAATGGCTCAGTTTGATGGTTAATATACAAGTTTATTTTATACTAATATATGCAATATTAAGCGCCCTGTTTAACAAACAGATGCTTAACCACAAAACCCAATTTGTTGGAATTATTATGGGTTTAACAAAAACCACAATTCCCAGCTGTCGCTTGCTAGAGGTAGTTTTATTTTGTAGCTGGCACTAAAGTAGCTTAATACCATCAAGAAAAATATAAAGTATTTTTTTTTAAAAGCATTGCAATTGATTTAAATGCAGTAACTGTACAGTAGTATTTGGTTTCTTTGGGTTTGTCTTTCACAAGTTCACATTTTCCTTTGATTTTAAGTACAAAAACAATTGTAACACTAAGGCGAGCACATTTGTGAGAACAGATGAATTGCAGATGGTTATTTTTATCCTGATTACTTTGCATGTGTGCTAAGGGCAAAATTCTACATTATATGACCATATGACTGATTTGGTACTCTGAAATACATTATATCTAATTGCTACACTTAACTGATAGAGCTATTATATAAGATGAATTATGCAGATAATATTTACATACATGCTTCCATACAGTATCTGCACTATTAACACAATGTTTCCTGGTTTAAGTCAAACTAAACGCTTAAAACTGCAACAGTGTTTTTTGGAGTAACTCCACTCTTATAGTGTGAAAGCAATGCACGTATATCAGGGGATTTCTGGGTTTACAGACTGAGAGAAAGCTGTTTTAAGAGTACTCAACTAAGTAATCTCTTTAAATGTTTTAAATGTGACTGTTAATGCCCTTTATTTATCAAGGTGTGTGTGTGAATGTTTGTTTTTCTGTTCTCTCTCTCTCTCTCTCTCTCTCTCTCTCTTTCTCTCTCTCTCCCTCCAAAACACCTTTTAGAAGATTAATATTTTCTTCCTTTTGGCCCTTTCCCCCCTTTCCTGCTCCAGTCCTGTCTTTAATGGCCTCCTTCCTTGCGTTCATAGTGTTTGTGGCCCTCGCTCCCACTGCTCTGCCCTTTTTTGTATTTGAAACTGCTTGGGTCCAATCGATCTTTGTCTGGCAACAGGATTTCTTCCACCTCTGTAGTTGCATTTTGGGTCATCCTGTACTTTTCCTGTTAGGGCAGTCATAGGAAATGACACGGTAGCTTTGGGAAGATAAGGGGCATGAGAAAGCAGGGGGACAAGCCATGAATTACCTTCAAATGTACTGATTAGTGTGTAATGAGACACACAATAACACTTACACTGCATTACATTTGCAGTCAGAACAAATTACAAAACGTAACATTAGAGAACATGAACAGCTTTTGTTTGCTTATTTTTATGAAGGTCAGGTTTTGCTTGTGTTTCTTTAGATTCTTAAATCAAGCAAGGGTTGAGTTTGATACATCCAGAGGTGTGAAAAGTAATCAGATCTTGTACTTGAGCAAAAGTAGAAGTACCAGAGTGTAGGAATACTTTGTTACATGTAAAAGTACAAAAGTATTTTCATCAAAATATACTTAAATTACTCATTATGCAGTTTGGCCCATTTCAAGTAACTAAACGTATCAAATAAAAAAATGTGGAGTTAAAGTACACAATTTACCCCTGAATTGTAGTGGAGTAGAAGTACAAAGTAGCATACAATGTAAATACTCAAGTACAAGTATCTCAATACTTGGGTAAATGAACTTAGTTACATCCCACCTCTGGATACATGTATATTCACTTTATAGTAAACAAGACAACTGGTAGGCCTATTGGTAGAGCAGAACCTAATATTGAAGGAATTCGTTTTTCTGTGCATTATATTATACTCACACACCCACACTGACAAATACTCCCTTTTTCACTTTTAAATAATGTCATCACTACATGCAAAATCCTGTAACCATCCTGCAATCCCACTGAGAAACCTTCCTTCATCTTGTGCAGAAACAGAGGTAACTGTAGGTGTCAGCATGACAGCGGCAGTAATAACCACCAATCTTGTACACGAGTTGCGAAGCTCAAGAAAAACAACTATTGCACAAAACCACAGAGGAAATGTTTTGAGCCTCATGTAATCCTTTTTTCTCTCCTGTGTTTTCCCTCTCAGCTCCCCCAATGATCCGGCTGTCAGTGAACGACACGGTGGTGGTGGACCCCGGGCAGGATGTGCTCCTAACCTGTGAGGTGACGGCAGGTTTCCCCCTCCCCACCCTGAGGTGGTCGCCCCTTCCCCTCAGCGCACAAGTTCGAGGGCCAACGCTCAATCTGCGGGCGGTCACACCGACCGACGCTGGTTTCTACAACTGTACGGCTTACAACAACGTGGGCAACCAGGCCCGCAAGAACGTCAATCTGGTTGTCAGGAGTGAGTAATGTGTGTGTGGTGTGTGTGTGTGTGGTGTGTGTGTGTGTGTGGTGTGTGTGTGTGTGTGTGTGTGTGTGTGTGTGTGTGTGGTGTGTGTGTGTGTGTGTGTGTGTGTGTGTGTGTGTGTGTGTGTGTGTGTGTGTGTGTGTGTGTGTGTGTGTGTGTGTGTGTGTGTGTGTGTGTGTGTGTGTGTGTGTGTGTGTGTGTGTGTGTGTGTGTGTGTGTGTGTGTGTGTGTCCCCAGGTGATAGAGGAACAGAAGGTACCAGATCTGTTGTTTATGGGAGTGTTTAGAGGGTTGATGGTTTGTTTGTGCATATTTCTGTTGGAATGCCGATTTGTGTACAACGTTCTGGGTCCTAACTTGGCATACTTCATGCTGTGTTCATCCAGCAAATGTTAAGGTTGGTAAGGTTTACAATATTTGAAACTAGAAATAATACTTGCTTTCCTTTGTATTTTTAGTTGTGACTTGTATTACAAATACACACATGATAAATATTTTAGTATTCTCAAAGAAATTGTATTAAACACATATTTTTATAATTCTCCTCACTTTAGTCCATACAGAGTATTTAAAGATTAAATAATTTCCCTTACAGAAAATGAAAAGAGCCATCTGTCCAGTCATTACTACTAGCTTTATTCATCAACTTTAATGTGTGAATGCGGCACATATTCATTTTTGCGTGTACAGAATGTGTGTGTGTGTGGTGTGTGACACGCGCGCGGTTGATCCATCATTAAAGAGAGCTGATGTGAATCTTGTCAGAATAGGCGGGTTAAGTATCGCTCTTTTTCTAATTCCCCTGCCATTAAAACAGAAGCTTTCCATTTTCCCTCCCCTCTGGCTATTTTTAGTCCCTTTTAATCATCTTTATTCACTCCAATTAGTTAGACTGGAGTGGAAGCAATTAGCGACAGTCTCTTCTGTTAGTTAACACTGTAGAGAACGTATGCTGGATGGGTTTCTCTTGTTAGCTTAATGGGCCTGAACGCATCGTCACACCAGCACAGGTGGTAAGACGGCGAATGAGACACACACACACACACACACACACACACACACACACACACACACACACACACACACACACACACACACACACACACACACACACACACACACACACACACACACACACACACACACACACACAAACACACACACACACACACACACACACACTCGTGTTTAATGAGTGCATACAAATCTGCAGGTAGGAATGCGACATAGTTGCAAATGCATATACAACATTGTATCCACACTAACCAGGTGAAGCTGCAGCATCATCTTAAACATATGGTCACTGCTTCATATCCATATCTCCACCCAAGCATCTTGTTAACAAGCTCGAAAGGAGTTTAAATCAAGCCCTCCTCTCCTCCTCGCCGCCTGTCTCTCCCTTAGTGGGGATACAGAGAGCTGTTTTGTATTCAACATGGAAATCTGTTGGGGAAACGCAGCCTTTGAAACTGAAAATGAAATGTGACAGTGTGAGAGTTACTCTTTGTCCTTGATTTTGTTCCCCACCCCTCCTCCTCTCCTCCTGTTATTGTATTCTGTTTCTGGCTCCTTTTGTCTCTCCCTCCTTCACAATTTGTTTTTTTCCTCTCTTTCTTTCTCTCTTTCGTCTTCAATTTCCTTTTCCCTTTGGTTTTCTTTTGCCAGGCTGCCCCCTCCTAATGCCTTTCATGCTTGTCACAAACTCATCTTCTGTTCTGTATTAGGCAGAACCCCCTCCTACGTCCATCCTTTTTTCTTTTAATTGCTTTTTTACTCTCATTATCTCTCAATAACCATTCTGTCAAAACTAAGTTCACTATCTTGTCAAATCAAAAGGTTGTTTATATTCAACAAACTTAAAAAACTGTATTGCCGTTAAAAAAATATGTCTAGCAAATGTTGAAATAAAAAAAGGCAATGGAGAGATTAATAACCATATACATACTGTATAATAATCATGGAGTACAAGGACACATATGTTTTATCAACGCCACGCCCCCTTCGTAGTTGCTCCAAGACTGGCCTAACTAGTAAACAAACTAACCAACCAACCAACTAACTCGCTCACTCACGCTATTTTAAAAGCACACCACCCTCTGAGTTTGGACTACCTGGCTACCATCTGGTAGCTTTAATTCTACATAATGCTGCAATAAGTTATTGCCTAAGTTCTGTATTTAAGTGGCAAAAGGTATGTGTGTGTGTTCAATTAAACATCCCTTGTAGAATCGGCTAAATGTGAATTAGTTCCATGAGGTGCTTCATGTTAACACTAGAACCGCCAGAGATTTTTTATAACCTAAAACCGCCACCTGGGTCAAATTGACCCGCTATTAGAATGCATTGATTTCAAGGTAAAATGTTCTTTTATTGAACAGAGAGTTTTGATCGCACAGGGATGAAACGTATACCAATATAATCTGTGGACTCTCAGGGCTCGACATTATAAATGGCCCGCTGGGCCGGAAGCATTATTTAGACACCGCGGCCAGCATAACGTACTTTCAACTCGCCCCACAGCTGTTTGCTGCGGAGCGCAGTGCGAGCAGTCTCCCGTGAGCGGGAGCACACTCCTTCACTACAGACTGTCTCTATCTCTCTCTCTCTCCTCTCTCTCTCTCTCCCCTCTCTCTCTCTCTCTCTCTCTCTCCTCTCTCTCTCCTCTCTCTCTCTCTCCTCTCTCTCTCTCTCTCTCTCTCTCTCTATCTATAACTATCTATCAATATATCTATCCATCTATCTCTCTCTCTCTCAATCTATCTCTCAATCTATAAGGAGGAACCGCAGTAGACAAAAGGCGTTGCTATAGCAACACGTCATGTTTATATGAAAAGGGGTGGGGTCAATATGACCCGCTTGGCGGAAATAGGTATAAATGGCAATTTTTTGGGTGATTTCTTCAATCTGACTTCATATTGACAATTTTTAACAACAGAGGGTGGTACATAACACACTTTCAGGAAAAGTCACGAACTGGGAGACTTTAATATTTTATTGAAAAAAAGTTACATCAAATATAAAACAGCTCGGGGTCAAATTGACCCCGTTGGCGCTTCTAGTGTTAAAGATACCTTTTAGACAAAGTGAAAGATTATAGAGATTAAGTGCAAGTATGTAAGGAGTAGGAAAATATCCTTTAACTATCTTCATATTCATTCCTTCAATTTGGTCTTCTCCCTGGTATTTCTTTCTTGAAATAGTCCCTTCTGCAGGGATGTTCTCCAAGTCTGCAGCACAGACAGCCTGACACTGTACCCCCTATTTAACTGGTTCTTCTCTCTGCTTCTTCACCCCACACACACAGCAATGAGTAACCTGACCTTCCAGATAACACCAGACTCCAACAAGGACAGCGAGACCATCCAGATGGGTCGGGACCTCAAGCTGTCGTGCCATGTTGATGCCACCCCACAGGACAAGGTCAACTACACCTGGTACAAGAACGGTGCACCTGTTTTCAACTCGGATAGCCTGATCTTGTTGCGCAGTGACCCAGACATGGCACCCGGCACCAGTAGCTTGGAGATTGTTGACATGAAGTTCAGAGACTTGGCTACCTACAGCTGTGTGGCGAACTTCCCCGGCAGCAGGGTGCCAGAGCTGCGTGTGGATGTCAACATCTCTCAGAACAGTGGTGAGGTTTTCCGTTCATTTTTCATGTTTTATCGCTGTCAGACCGGGACAAACTTCCATTACTGTCTCTCTGTCAGTTAAAGTGCTCCAAAAATCCTTTGATTAGTCAGATGGTGATGGTTCGAGGCATGTTTTTGACATTTTTGGCTAGGATTTTTGTTTTTAAGCTGACTGCATCCAGATCTGAACACACAGTCACTGTCAAGTTGTTTTAGGGCTTTGTGTAACTGTGGGTTTGTGTGCTTTATTTGTGGTTAATTATAATGTGCGCACTTAATTACTGAGCAGTTATCTTTTTTTACTGTTCCTGTGTTGCTTTAAACTGTGATTGTCCAATAAAATTAGCGTGGTCAATTTCAGTTTATTTCATTTATTTGTATTCCCCATCTGTCTCTGTTTTACAGTCTCTCTGTTCACACCATCTGTCATTGTTAAGTCATGTCCTATCTAGAGTTATTAAACATTAACATATAGCCCTTTTTTACAGTCAATTGTTGTTTGTGAAATTGAATTATTCTTATCTATACTTTTACTTATTCATTTATTTTAACAGGGACAGTGCACATTAATCAACATTTGTGTAAATGTGCCAGAGTTAGCCAAGAGGCTATTTTTCATCTGTAGTCCCTGGACAGATTACACCTTTTTTACTAGACTAACAAACTACAATAAATAAGAATATCCTTTGGCTTTTTTGTAATGCAAATTGTATGAAGATTGTTTTCCTTTATTGCAGCAGTTTGTGTAATTGTAAAAAAAAAGTCAATTACATAATTGATGGTTCTTTCTGTTTATGTCGAGAGTGTATTTACACTTTTCTCTCTATTATTTTCTTTCTAACCCTGCCCTTTCCTTCCCTGCAGTCTCTCCTCCAGTGTTGGCTCTTCCACCAGGAGGTCAGGTGGTGAACGTTCGGGAGGGAGGTAACATCGACCTGGTGTGCTTGGTGGTAGAAGGTAAACCCCGTCCACCTATACTGTGGTCACGGATGGAAAAAGACCTGCTAATGTCGTCAGGGGCAACCACGATGGAGACACTTGATGGCCGCTTGATGCTAAGAAATGTGAGCCGGGACATGATGGGGGCGTACCGCTGCCAGACTGCTCCGTACAACGGCCTTAACATCAAACGCAGGGAGGCACAGGTCCAACTCAATGTGCAGTGTAAGTGTGCATCAGATAATAACAACTCAAACTACAACAACATACAACACTGCTGTGGACGTCAAGCAGCAGAAGGACAGGGTCACTTGCATGTGTGTTCAATGTAAATACATCTAGATTGGTTAGAGCTGCTTTTAAATACTGTTCCTGCTGCATTTAGTCTACTATTAAGATAAGACAGGATAATATAACACTTGATGATGATCCCATAGGTATCGTTAATTAGTAATATTAGAAGTCATTTGAGCTAAACTTAGGAAATATAAAATATGCAGTAGCAATGTGTAAAATAAGTAATACATTGTAAAGAGGTACACTATGGTAATAGTTCCAATGGAAGTGTTTTCAATCAGGATATTTCTTTATGAAAATAATAGTTTAAAGGCTCTAACAGACAGAATTCAAACTAAGTTATTCCTAATGGTACCTTTTGCATAGGCCTCTATTCACCTTAAAACAATTTCTTTGTTGTTATGGTAATATCAGAGATCCCTTAAAACACTTTTATTTTTGCTCCACACTCAATAGTGGCATAATCGTCACAATTTCCTCAAAGCCCTAAAGACAGATACAAAAAAATGTATGGTAATGTAAAGAGTGCAAAAAGAAAATGAGGACACACCTCGATGGTTTTAAGGCTGTTTTCCCTTCCACTTCGTGAACACTCCAGTTGGGACTGTCATTATAAATCTCCCGGAGGATGGGCTTTGAGTAAGGAATGAGAGCTGTCTTGCTAAAAGAACACACAATTGTAATGCCGTCTCCCTTCCCAAAAGGTTACCCACTTAATCTTACTCTTACAATGTTTGGATTGTAATGGCGCTAGTGACTGTGGAGAGCTTCACGGGACACATTTGATTTAAATGTTTCTATCAAAACAATGTGCACATACTCTAGGTAAAATCACTTGGCACCCACATCAGCATGTACATCTCCTGCTGTTACTGACTTTGAGCACTTTCCAACTTATAGCTTTGGTATAACTGAAAAACTTGTATTTTACAGAAACTAACTGTGTTCTTCTTCCAGAAAAACAGAATAGCAGTAGGTTACAATTACATTATTTGCCTCATCTAGGTATAAACTAGTACTGGATGTTCTTTATTAAGCATCTCGTAACCAGTATGTAAAATCAAACATTGCAGAAATAATCCTCAGAGAGGGTTGGTTGAGGCTGACCTTCTTAGTTGCACCACCCTATTATACTGAATAAACACGGACACACACATGTAAGTAAGTTGTATCAAACATTTATTAGTTGAAAATACATTTTATTTGTATAGCACACTTTAAAAACAACGTCATCTCAAGGTGCTTCACAATTGAATTATTAAAAGTTATCTAAGAAACATATTTAATAAAAACATTTGAAAATGAAATACATACAAAACTAGGGAGTTGAATTTAAAAACAAATATATAGATTGGAACCTGCTGTGTGGCACAGCAGTGTATTATTCCATTGGTAAGTGCTCGGTTTTATTCAATAAATGTATGTTAACAGGACTCAAGTACTCAATTCAACCCTTTCAGCACCCTCCTCGTGTGCACAAGGTCAGGCCTTTTAGGCTGCAATTAATTAAAGTGATACAATGTACAAGATATAACAATTACACAAGGATACAAAAAGAAAGAGCAGTACATCTACAACTTAACTAATGACTCAAAAGGAGAGGGAAATGAAAGGCTAAGGACTGTATGCATTAAGGAACTGGAGGTATGAAACGTGTCCTTTTTCAACCAACGTGCTGATAAACTCAGAAATTTAACATTTATTATGTCTGAATAATCTTAACAAAAGTTAATCTATATGGATAATATTGTCAATGTATCTGGATATATTAAGACTGTGTATAAAATCCTGTACATGTTTTTGTATATTATATTTATCTATATTTGAATTATATATAATTCAATTATATATATTTAAATTATATATATTATATATTTTAGAATCTTGAATCTTGGTCACATGTGTAAGGGGTCAGAGTCATTGCTGCTATAGCTGCATTTGTTAAGTTGCCAAACAACCAGAAGAACCAATAGCCACTAGACAGTACATGTATGTTTTAATTTAATGTTAAGACTATTTATTTTACTGAAGATCACAAACAACTTTGTGTTTGCCTGAGAGTACACGGCCTGTTCTTGGACCAATTTCCCACTCTGAAATTCTTGATGAAAACTCCCCCAAAATCACATCTCCCCTTTTCTACTGTCTCCTCTCCTCTCCTCTCCTCTCCTCTCCTCTCCTCTCCTCTCCTCTCCTCAACTCTCCTCTCCTCGTATCTCCTCTCCTCGTATCTCCGAAATTCTTGATGAAAACTTCCCCAAAATCACATCTCGCCTTTTCTACTGTCTCCTCTCCTCTCCTCTCCTCTCCTCTCCTCTCCTCTCCTCTCCTCTCCTCTCCTCTCCTCTCTTCTCCTCTCCTCTCTCCTCTCCTCTCCTCTCCTCTTCAAGAAGGATTTACGGGGCTTGCCAATGCAGGCGGGGCGGAAGGGCAACACTATGCTCTGCTGTCCTCACTGGCCAAGTCTGATTAATGGACCAGGTGGCCACCCCACTCTGGACGGAGAAGGAAACAGAGAGATGAGACAGATACATGAGCAGGACAGATGAAAAGAGAGAGAAACAGTGTTTAGAGATAGCTTGAAACAGGGATAGGGATGGCAAGAAGTTACAAAATGTGTGATTAGTAGGTTAGAAAGATGGAAAAAGAGAGAAACAGATTGGCGATGTTAAAAGTGTTTAGCTAAGGCCAACAAAAGTGTGTAAAAACAAATCTTTTCACTCTTCCTCTCCCACTGCCCCTCTTTACACCCCACCACTATTTTACTATATTTTGTATTTCATCAGGTTTGTTTTACCTCCTTCCATTAACCACGCGATGGTGAGATAAGATATATGTAATGGATGCATGCTCTAATTTGTATGGCAGATATAATTAGGAGGATACGCAGATTCTTGCCACTGTAGCCACTCCCACTTCCTCTTCTCTCCTGGTATCCCTTCTTTCTTTGCCCACTTTACCTCCAAGAAAAGTGGCTGTTCTTCCTCATTGCCATTCCCATCATCATCAATCAGCTAACTGCTGGCCATGAGAGAACACCTCTCTCTGTCTTGTCATTCCCTTTCTGCATCCTGCATTCTCCCATCCCCTCCCAACCTCCCATACTCAATCATCGACTTCTCTCACTTTCACACTGCACTTTCCCTATCATTTGTCTTCCTCATTGTCCTCTTCTTCAAGACCTGCTTCTCTCTACATTCGTCCCAACTCCTCCCTCTCTCAGTCTCATGTAAATTGATTTTTTTCTCTGTGTACTGTAAATGTTTTGCTTGGTCAGTGTTGCATTCCCAGATGGAATCCATTCTGCATTCGATAAGACAGATAGTGAAGGTGTGCTCACATAGATTATGGTCTTCTGATGATGAGAAATATTGCAGTGTGGTGTAGTGAGTCCCCGATGAGTAGCAAACAAATGAGAACAAATGCTCAAGAGAATTTGAAAAGTTGTATTTGAAAATAAACAAGCTTCACAACTTAAAAAGTGAGACATAATGCTGAGGAACTTAAATAATTGTTGAATTTAATATTTAAGGTCATGTAAGGGGTTTGTAATAACTTGCCTCCCAATTCTTCTGGGGAACGAATGATTTATAAACTGCTCACAAACCAGCTCACAACACCCCCCCCCCCCGCGCCTTTATATCACCATCGCTCCACGGTTTGCCTGCTTTTCCTTACCCTTGCCACCTGTTTTCAAAGTCAGCCATCAGTATGCATATGTGTGTCTATAAGCAGGAGTCGGGTATGTGACCATACACTAATCAGTCTATAGGATTGCATTGACCTTTGACCTCCCACTCACTCCTCTGCTGCATCACTTGTTTCTGTTGTAGCTGCAGGAAGTATAAGCAACACATTCATTTCACACACAATTTATATTCTCATTAAAATAAAAAATATGTATGAAGCTGTATGTATGTTGCATCCTCATGTTGGAATGAACACAGCTGAGATATATTTGGTGGTTTTCCAGTCATGTTAGCATGCAGGTGCTTACTCATGGTTCTCTGACTGGAGTGCAAGCTCAGAATGGCAAACTGTGATTCTCAACAAGGATTTAGTTTGGCCATGCTATAGCAGAAAAAACAAAACCGTGAAAGGTTCACTATGAGAGATTTTATAAGCTTTGTGTTTGTGCTATGGTGTTACAATTTTTTTTTTTCTTTAAACCTTTTGAGAATGTGAAAACAGTATGAGAATCGATCAATTGAACTTTACTGGCATGATAAATCATATAATAATGTAATAATGATAATTATAAAAATCCAGCTACTGTAAGTCAGTGCAGTCTTCTCTCCTGCTCCTTACATTACCCCCCCCCCCCCCCCCCCCCCCTTTCTCTCCTCCTTACTCTAACTCATTCTCCGTCTATATTACAGGCATAACACAGATTAGACTTAATTACATATCTGTGTCTGATAAACTTGATTCATAAGAGACTCTAGTCATGCTGCTTCACCTCTCGGGGCCCTAACACCAGATCTCATCACTGTTAGTCCGGCAATACCGTCATTAGAACCTTATCTATTATCTACATGATTTGCCAGGGGTGAAAAGCTGTGATTTGTGGCAGAGTCATTTGGCTGTCTTGTGTCCGGGCTGACCCCAGGGCAACAACAGCTAGTCAGTCATTAACCGCAGAGCTACACATCCTGCTGACAGGTTAATTACAGCTGGTTAGGATAGCAGTGGTGTTGGGACTATGCCTTGTAGAAATGCCTGATCCCTTGTGGAAATAACAGTTGCTCTGTGTCAGATTATTTGTCAAAACTAATGTTTTCTAACGGTGTGAGGAATTCTACACTGCAGAGTGCAAACAGATAATTAGACATGGGTGATGGTGGTGTTCATGTACCTCGTTGCAGTGCATTTTGCGTTATCCAAATTTCGAGCTGAAATATCCTTTTCAAACTGTTCTTCTTCCGTTTATCTCCATCTCTCCTTTTATGATGGAAATAGATTTTAAAATGGAAAATGATTACTGATAATGGGTTTTACATGGATACACCCCAGCTGTCAATTACGTTATCAAACTGTCAATAGTAACTGTTTTTGCACACTTGTAAATCACTGTTACCACAAGAGGACCTAGACTCGAGCATACAGTCATTAATGTGAACGAAATAAATTAGGTTGATGGTTACAGTAGTTTGTGCTATTAGCTACGACAGACTGACATAGACATGAGACGATTTTGCAATGTCACATTTATTGCAGGCTGAAAAATCAACTTATAAATCAACAAACGTTGTAAGTAAACTGAAACTCGATTCTGTTGTCTCCTCAGATCCTCCCATACTGGACCCAGGCGACCCGGATGTGCGTTCAAGGAACTATCAGATGGTGACCCTGAGGTGTACGGTGATACGCTCATTCCCGACACGCCTTATAGACATCCGCTGGTTCCGTAATGGCGAAATAATCCGCATGCCCATGCCAGACACTAAGGAGAAGCCAGAGCTGAAGTTTAAGCTGGACCCCACCAACAACGGCTCGTATGAGTGTCGAGTCACCAATAGTGCAGGGACATCAACATGTGCATTTAATGTCTCTGGTAAGCAAATTACATGAGCCAACTGTGAACTGCTACACCTGAACATAATCAATGTATCTACTGGTAATCCATCTCTCCAACTCTTTCATGCTCAACATGGTGCATTTATCTGTTCTTTATGATTAATGTATCAATGATATGTTGTTCTATCTCCCTCCCTCATCTCACAGCACAACCCTACAATGCTGAGTTTTACTTCGACACACCCAACCCAGTGCGAATTCAAAAAGGAAACAACTATTCCTACAACCTGCAGTGGACACAGAGAGATCCTGAGGCCACGGATCGTATCATAGGTTACTGGATTAATGTTCGAAAGGTAAAGGAATACTGCACATATACATATAGGCAGGTGTGCACATAACTTTTTGAGTGAGTTACTCAGATGAGTACCAGGAGACAGCGTTTGGTACTCACCCCACATGAAGCGTGGTGTTAATAAGTGCAGTCTTCCTCACTGTCCTCCTCAGTGTCTCTTTCACTGTCCTCTATTTACACTTCTTGCATGCTAGATGATGAAGATGATGAAGATGCACCTCCCTGTCTCTTTGTAAGCCTCCAATTTGCTTTCTCCAAAACTTGTTGCCAAAACTGTGAAGTCCTTGCATTTCCTGAGGCCAAGTTGAAGGATCAAATACTAAGAAATTATCACATGACTTGAAGTCATATCTGATTTCAGAGGTGGGAAGTAACAAAGTACACTTATTCAAGTACTGTACTTAGGTACAATTTAAGATACTTGTAGTTTACTTGAGTATTTCTATTTTATGCTACTTTGTACTTCTACTCCACTACAGTTCAGAGGTAAATCATGTACTTTTCTTCCACTACATTTATTTAATACCTTTAGTTACTTTACAGATGTGGATGAATGATGTGAAAATATAATCAAGTGTTAAATCAGACTTTAGTTCCACCTGGAGTAAATCCACAAGCTACCTTGCAGTATACAAAGTCATTCAAACTAATTTTTAAACACTTTAATGATCAATAATTATAAAACATATCATATACATTATTATGAAATGGACCAATCTGCAAAATGACTACTTTTACTGTCGCTACTTTAACTAGATTTTGATGATAATACTTTTCTAATTTTACTTGAGTAACACTTCTTCCACCTCTGTCTGATTTCAAACTCTTCCATTAACAGCCTGAGTACGTTTGCAGCTGTGTGTTTTACTCCACTTTGTTGTAAATAAAACTGCAGCAGCTTGACCACAGAGCGTGAACGTTGTGATCAGCTGATTTTGCGCAGTTCTCCAGTGTGTGCGCGGGGCACAGAATGTGCACAGGGGAGTCTCCCACCGCAGCCAGTTGACGTAGTTTTGGTACAATTCTGTTGTACACACCGACGTTAACAGCAGCTCCGTCTGTGCACACGGCGACCAACTCTGTCGTCCAGTGATCTAAGCCTCTGCCTCCTGTGAAGCTTCACAGGTCCGTCGGTTATGTCCTGCGCGGCACGGCCAGCACCCAGTTCAATCAGTCATAGAAAGTCTGAAGATTTTAGCAGGGAGCGAAACGGCAAAGTGGCTGCTTAATGTCTTTGTTTTTTTTGGACATGTCTAATAATTTACTCCACTGAGTATTGACAAGAAACATGTGTAGGCGAAATATGTGTTTTGTTTTGATGACCTATCAGGTACGCAAAGGCGCGTTGTGACACAAGTGACGTTACGCATTTCAGATTGTTGCCGCGCATGCGTACCTGCGTACCAGTTATGTGCACCCCTGCATATAGGTATACATCCCACACTCCCATGCAAGCCTATGAAAGCACATGTACATACAGTACGCACAGCTAGCCAATACACATGCACACTCACATGTAGCACACATGTAGCAACTAGCTAACTTCTGGTTCAGCCCAAGGCAAACTTTGGTCACATGGTTTATGTATTAGGTTTGGTATCACCTTTACTGAACAGACTAACAACTTGTGTATGTCAAACACACAAACGCACAAGTCCTTGAAGAGGGGAGTGTGTATGCTAAGTAAACATGAGGCTTTATGAGCTTGGGCAGTGTCCGGCGTGTGTAGTCAATCAATGGAGACCTGAACTGAATTACAACAATGTCACAGCCCCTCCTCTCCTCTCCTCTCCTCTCCTCTCCTCTCCTCTCCTCTCCTCTAGCTTTATTTGTGACGGTCATTTTCTTTACAAGTTTTTACTTTAAAGTGGACCTATCATGCTATATTTGAATAATATATTGTAGGGCCATACCTATATAAGGTATATTTATATTTTTTCTTTTTCAAAATACCAAACAGATCATGCATTTTAGCCATGCCTCATTTCGCTCTATTTTGCTCTCCTCCACCCTGTCTTTGCATGCGCTGCAGCTGACCATGCCCCCCTGCAAAGGAGGGGGGTCATGTTACCATGCTGTTACCATGCCACGGCAACCTCTCATTCCCCTGATAGGTGGAGAGTTGGCCATATAGGCGGAGCTCCTCCGTCCTGACGTCAGAGAAATGTTCAAATCTGGATCAGTCTGTATCAGATCCGTTGCAGCCCCATTTTTAGAGATTTGGGTATGGAGGAAAATAGAGAGGGTTGTGTTTTCTGACACTTGGTGAGTTCCCTGGAACACCGGGGACACATATTCATGTATAAAAGACGTACTAAAGTGCATTTTGCATGATAGGTCCCCTTTAAAATAACCCATTTACTTCCATTAAACAGATTACTCTGATGCAATTCCTACCAATTGTTAAAAAGATGTTGTATAGAGTTCCGCTGTTTACAGAAATCTACCTGCAATAAGCACATCTTATAAGGCTTTCAATATATCAGAATGGATAGAAAAGGGAGCAGGGCCAAACATAACTTAATGTGCACCAAAGCAAAGAGAACAAAAAGATCAAATGGACATTGTTGTTTGCTCATCAAATTGGGCACATTATCAAAAAATAAATAAAGGTAGAAATATATTTGTTTCCATTCTTCGGTTCCTTCTTCTCCCCTCTCATATTTCTCCTCTCTTCTTGTTCCCCCTTGTCATGAGTAGCAATCTCCGGCAGCTCTCATCACTCAGTCCTATCAAATGCAGGCCCTAAAATGCCCCATTAAGGGGTTGCGCTTGATTTCCCAGAACTAAGGTTATGCCTAACCATCCTTTCAAACTTTTCACATACGTCCACATGACTTTGCTATCTCTGCAAGATTCTAATTTGGAGAGCCAGACAAAAACGTGTTCACGGTGTTGTAACCACCAACAAGACCAGACCAACGTCTCTCATTTCTCTAGTTGGTTTAAGAGAGCACTTGTTTTGTTTTCATATTTTATCTTTGCCTCAAATGATTGACTTTGAATTGATGTGACTTCCTTTTCACAGCCTGTGAGTGGTGTTTAATTAGTCTCGCAGTCACAAACTTGAATTTAGAATTACCTTACACTTAAATAACCTCTTACAACACATCACCTTAAATCAGCTTTTTTGCCTGTAAACAAAATAAATTCTCCCAGGGAGATATATCGTATAGATTTTATTTGTCACAGTTAACATATACATAGCTGTTCTATAAACAAATACATACTGTTTAGAAACTGACTGACTAATGCTACTAGTAATGACCGATATTATGGCTGATTATAAGGATTTGATCTTCCAGAAACTCAAATACTTTTCTTCTAACCCCAACCAAACCCCTCCTTTAAACCGTTATTGAAGCCCTCTGAGCGGGCCCCTGAACAAAGTGTGTAGCCTTTGTCCACAACAGGAGAGCAACCTCAGGCCACCCTCTTGTTTTGTTTCAAACATCTATTCATAGATTACTGGCCTTGAGTCAGAAGACAGGAAGGATAATAGTGAAGTATACACAACTAGCTGGGGGTAGGTGTGTGTGTGCATGTGTTTGTGTCTGACACTGAAATAGGGGAAATGCTGGGTCTGCCAGCTTGCTTTTGTGCGGATGAATGGCTAATTCCCCTCCTCCTTTAAGACTTGGCTGCTTACCTCATTAAGTAAGACTCTACAGGGAGACCGAAAATGAGCACTGGCCTATGCACATTTGATCGTATGCATCAGCTCTCTGAAATATCTCGCTCTACCTCTCTCTTGTTCCCTCTTCCTTTGTCCTCTGTCCATCGTCCAATATCTTTCACACACACACCATCTCTTCCAATGTTCTAATACTTCCTTTTCCTTTGCCATCCCTCAGTCTTCACGCTCCCACTTGTGCTCCTCTACCCTTTCAGTTTTCCCTGCTCAGATGTAGCAGACTAAATGGGATTTAATGTTGGTGAGCCGTGCATCTGAATTGCATTGATAAATAATTGCTGTGAGTCTTTATGCTGGCAGGGTTAACATAATGAGTAAGTGACAGTTTTGTACTTATTATATTTGGTTTAAATGTAATTTAATTTCAGGGTTTTCACCTGCATGTTTTTACGTGGGCAAGAGAGCGGCAAAAATGAGAAGGCAAAAAAAGCAAAAGCAGACGGTGAGATTGAGCGGGGAAGTGAATGAAGGGGTGCGAAAGAGAGAAATAAGATGCAAATGAAAGAAAAACAGCGAATCTCACTGGTCCTCTTGACTATTAAATAGAGTATGAGAACATTCAAATGTAATACCATCTCAATTTCACATCCCATCTATTTCTGCAACACTCTCCAGCTCATGCTCTTAACGCCCTGACACTCTATCTTTTTAGCACATATAAGATGATGTATGGGGTCCCAGAGGAGACATGAAGACACAGAGGGGAATTAAAGAGGACTCACATCAGTTCATGTAGAGCACTTCTCTTCACTGTGGGTCTGAGCACATGCCAATCATTTAGTGTGTCCATTTCGTTTTGCTCCTATGTAAGTGGTTGTGTTGTATAAATAGGGCTTTGTGAATAAATGTATGAATGATGGGCTAATGTATTCATTATCTGTTGGTACACCGTGTGTGTGTGTGTGTGTGTGTGTGTGTGTGTGTGTGTGTGTGTGTGTGTGTGTGTGTGTGTGTGTGTGTGTGTGTGTGTGTGTGTGTGTGTGTGTGTGTGTGTGTGTGTGTGTGTGTGTGTGTGTGTGTGTGTGTGTGTGTGTGTGTGTGTGTGTGTGTGTAATTACAGGTTTTTTCTCCATATACTCATTACCAGGCTGACAAATCATCATTTACACTTCTCAACTACGTTTGGTTTTCTCTGCGAAGGTTTTCCCTGTATGGGAATTAACAGAGTTAACAGGCCCGCCTGGTTTCATCAAGTTGTCCTAACAACCCTTTTCTACACCCCGACAGGTTCCTAAAGAGTAGCGTAATTAATGAGAGAAAATTAACATGTGATGATTTTACCTTTTTGCAACACAGGAGGAAGATTT